TGCTTTACTTTATTTCCTATTTTGAACAATTTTTGCAATTAAAAAGAGAAGGCAAAGCTGATTATATGACCAGCCTCGATTTCATGCTGATATCCGATATTGCATGACAAAAACACCCCCTAATTCGGAACCTATACCACATTTCAACATTAAAAACTGCTCTGGGTTATTCAAGAGGTCTTTTGCTATTAAAATCYGGTGTCAAACCTTTTCTAACCTGTGAGTTGAACGAAACCCCTATTTTCCGGACTCTGCTACTGGACTATAAGAACAATATAGCCTTGTTGGGACTTAGGTAACCAATTTATTTATTTCTCCCTTTCTAGGTATTGGGTGTGGGAATTTAGAAAGATCTTACTTGGCCCTTGAAATACATGGAGGTTATCAGTCGGCTATGCATCTGATACGGCTGTGTATTTTTACGAGTCACGGAGTATTTTGACGAGCCTTTAGGCGAACCAAAACACAAGTGACGAGTAAAAATAAAGAAGTATCAGATGCTTTGCCGACTTATAAGTTGTTTATCATTTAATTCTGCAAAGAAATGCTCAAACTAAATCTAAACTCTATCGTACCTGATCACGAGCAAAGTAGAAGTGCTGATACGGTCTCATATTAGGCATGGTCTTTTCCCGTATCACGCACATTCTTTGCAGAATTTTAATTTCAATTTTAATTTCAATTGATTTTCAAAGGCGCTTTACATTGAGAAGTGAATGACAGATTGCTTTTTATGCAATTTACAAGCATGAGAGATGGTTAGTATGAAGTGGAGGCACTGAGGGTGGTCACTGCCAGGGTTTCTTTTTACGTCCTCAGTGGTTCTTTTATGTCCCCCATTTTTACTGTAGGTTAGGAAGGGTTGGGAGACAGGGCCTACGGTTTTAAGTCCTTATCCGAGAAGACTTGAAGATCTAACCATTTGCAGATATAATTACAAAGGCAGCACCTTCTCCTCAGTTATTTTAAGACCCTGAGTGTTGGTCCGGCCGAGGCCTGAACCTCCCGCACAACAGACCGACGCTCTTACCAAATGAGCTAACCGGGTGGCGGTTAAATTTAAATTTAAATTTAAATTTGAATTTAATTTCAATTTTAATTTCAATTTAAAAATGATAAAGTTGTGTAAACTTACTTCAGTGACTAAAAGTCAAAGTAAAACAAAAGAAAACAATGGAAATTGTGTCTATTACTGTGCAATATACTTACAATTACGGGCCGACGCAAAAGAAAGAAACTTGGTTGACTGTCCATGCCAATCTAGTCTATTTAACATATTGACGAACTATAAACTTTCCCACCGAAAAAATCGCTACCGGAACAGTTTAGAAAGCATACAATACTTGGACATCATTAATCTTTTTCAATAGTGGTGCATTTTTTGTGGCCGTCTAATTCAAAGGCTAGCCAGGACGTAACTACTTCGGTTTCTTGCTATTCTATTGAGCAATGCCAACAGACCCGCTTGGTCTTCGTGTGGTGCGACCTTAGAACAGTGGACGGAAGAAGGGCTTGGAGACAAAGGAATGAAAGCAACATTGACGGATTCAAAACACACCAGTCTTGCAGATAACCTTTTTAAGTATTTTTTTATATTTTATTTTGAGTATTGTTTCTTGGCAAAATTATAAAGACTAGTTAAGTAGGAAAGATATGAAGAGATAACTAGMTAAAAACTAGTGTGAGCTGCGTCGGTGTTTCTAATGAAACAGTAATGATRAAARGGTAAATTATACACCGTGAAAAGATGAAAAAACTTACTGACGTTTCGGACGCTAGTCCTTCGTCGCGGAGTGATATGAAAAGCTGTCAAAAATATTCCTAATAAACTACCAACATTGCTATTTCATCGCATATATTTCAAGAGAAATTTTTAACGAAGAATCATTCGAAGACTGTGAAAGTCATTTATCTCATAAACAAGTTAAATCTAGTTTCTCACAGAAATTGTTTCAAACGTAAAATTTAAATAAGGTTATCTTCCATTAACCCAGGAAAGTCGTAGATCTTAGGTAGAAGGCCCGAAAGAAAGATAACGGCTCTTTTATGAAAAACTCCCGGCCAAACTTTTCTCAAAGCCCTACATAGCCAGCATTGCTTTTGCGGTCTGCGGTTACTCCTCGGATAACTGAGATAACCGCCTGCTACCGCTTCCTACGCACGTGGGATCTGGGTACGAGATTTCAGCTTCCTCAAACATGCCTGTCCTGATAAGTAGTCTGTACGTTCCACTTACTAGTCACCTTTGCCAGCTTTTGAAAATACTTTTTGACGAGAAAATTTTCACGAAAACTTAGAATAGCATTTTACTCATATTATATAAAGAAACTCAGGGACGGACCATTAGATCTTTGAGGGGGGTTGGGAAAAAAAATCGAGCACAGCTGTAAAGAGTGAAAAAAAAAAATCGCCAGGAAAAAAAAGATAAATCTAGATTGGTCAGCCTTAAAGGGAAAAAATGCTTTTTTTTTGCTCATCGTTTTCTTGTCAAGGAAAATTTACACTTGTAGATGCTGTTTATTAAAGTATTTTACAGTATTTTACTGTACTGAAGGTAAATTCGATTAACTTATTAAAGGTGAGTAATCGCTAACGAAGCGGCGCCGGCGCTGCTTGGCACGGATAGTGTAGCGGTAAATACTCAGAGCGTACGTACGGCTGACTCGAACCAGAAAGACCGCTGGATGGAAAGATAAGTGAACACTATTTAGTATCCATTTAGAAACAAACATATATCAATTCAATTAGAAATCTACGAATAACTGAAACAATCACACATATTTAAAACCCAATCCGTCTGTCCTGGCGCCCTTGCTAAAATTACTCTGTTGTTTTGACTGGATGTCACGAGGAGAATTAACGACATGTTGCAAACGCGTGACAGCCTGCACGTGAGACTCGTGACCAATATAACACGTGTTTGTCTGTAGTATTTTTAGCTCATGATATTAAAACAAACGAGCTCTCCTATCCAAGTCCCCTATTCAGTTAACATTTCGAATTTGAGGGGGATGGGTCGAGTTGACTTTCCGGTGCATTCTAGGACTGTTTTAGAGGACAAATTGATGCCACCTTGGAAATATGTCCCCCAAAAAATCCCAAAATGCACGGCCGCTTTACCAATACGACCCAGTTTTTTCCTCGGCCTTGAAATGGCTGATACTCCTTTATCCCGCCTCAGCCTTATATTACTAATGATATGATAATAATATTTATTTATAAAGCGCAAATACGAATCTGTTCTAGGGGATTATTACAAAAAAAACAACAACAAAATAAAATTATGTACAAAGAAAAAGCTAATTTGAAGAGTTAAGTATTAAGTTCAGTTTTGAATGAGGCCATTTCGGAGATATTGGCAGTGAGTTCGAGATTTCAGAAGCAGCTACTTCAGCCAATAAAGTATCAACGCGGTAAATTCCAAATCCAAAAAGAAGGTAAAAGGTATTGGTACCCTTTGGAACAAGTTTTGGAACAAATAATTCTTATCACTCTATCCGTAAAAAAGCAAAATTTTCTTGTTAATGTGTAATTGTCAACTGAATCAGAAAAAGTAATTTATAATAATAATAGTAATAATTTATTAGCTTATATGTAGCATACTACATATCGGATTGATTGCGCTTTGCGTAAGTTAAATTAAAATGCAAAGAACTTTACAAACTCAATCTAACAATCAGGGGGAAGAGAACAATGAAAAAATGCTCATATTAACCTTTTCTATTAGGTCGCGGTCACATTAGATTCAGATTTTAAGGTTAAGAATGGTTTTCGACGGTGACATATGAAACCCACGGCCGGTCACTCAGTCTGCTAAGTAATATTTCACTAAGTACTAACCTCTATTAGTCTAGTCCGAGAGTAAACCCAAACTTCAGAGTATTTTTCAAGCAGTGTTTATGCCATGTTGTAAAAGAATACTTAAAAGCAAAGAATCCATTTTATTCGTTCATCAAAATAGGCTTATTTATATATAAGGTGGAAAAATCACGCAATCTATATATGACACAACTCGAGGTTTAACTTCAAAGACCGCGATTGTTTTGAGAGTTGCAACACCCCCCTTATATAGATCTATCACCCGACTATCGGATGACTTTACAGTCAAACTACCTCAAGCGTGAACACGTAGAGGTCATTAATGACTTAATTTTTGGATTCTTGATTTCATTATTCGATTGGAAGATTCTTTAATGAAAATGAATCTTCAATATTCAAATAATAATAATTTGAAAATTCGATAAACTTGGCTTTTAGGCTGTTGTATAGCGCGAACAGAAGGTAAGTCATTAATATTACACATTCTGGGGTGCTAGTACCCCCCCCCCCCCCCC